TACAATGGCTGAAGTGAGCCACTTGATAAGCGCTAATTCCGTCATTTGCAACTACAATTGTTTTTAAATTTACCATTCCATTCAAATATTTTGTCACCAAGTGGTATCTGAAATATGTCAGTAACTCAAAATGGAAAATAACTGTGGTATCTTCAACGCCATCATTTGGTAACTGCAGATAAATGTGGTCTAGTAAATGGTAACTAGTAAAATTCTTCTTCTTCCATCCCCAGGATATAATTATTTAAAAATAGGAAAAGAGTTGAAAGCATCAACATACATACGTATTGTGAATACGTAACATACAAAGCTGTGAATACAGCTTTCAAAGTACTTGGTAGGATTCCAAATCCGTATGTGCTCCAGTTCAATTGATACGATGCAAAAGCTTTCCCCCCTAAAATTAATTTTTTTAATTCATGCACCTTGCAGAGTGTGGGGCTGGAGTCTTGTGTTTATACACACCCTAAGAATGCTGCAGTAAATAGATTTCCTAACCTCAGCATATCGAATCTCGATCTACACAAGGCAATCATAAACAGGTTGCAGACTTTTCATGTTCATTCAGTTCCCTAGCCCTCTCTCCTGAGACTGTCAGCAAGCACAGATTATTAACTGAGATTTGCAGGATACTCTACTCTTCATAAGAACTGACCCAATCTCATCCAAATTAATTTTACTTAAGTGATACAACCGTCAAATGGTAGTGGATTTTTGGCCACTACAGGAAAGTTTAGATGTGACAAACTGGGCAAGATGGACTAGTAGCAAAAAAGTTTTACAAAATAGAAGCAAGCTCCAGAATGTTTTGAAAGGCTTGTTTTTAAGTGTTTAAAAATACATTGTGTTAGACTAACAGGGGATTAGACACTGTGGGAACTTAAGTAGCTATTTAGGCACCTAGATCCAGTATGTATCTGGGTGTCCAAAAGACACCTACCAGCTCTACAGGTACCTGCATCTCAACTGGTAAAGTCCGCCAGGTATCCAATTCCCTAGTGCAGGAGATGAACAGAGACATAAACCTGATTTCAAAAAACAGGTGCTTATTTCCCAGCCTCCTTTCCCAAGCTAGACTTTGCACAAGTATTTCCACTGTAAACGAGATATGGAAAGATGGCAGACCAAAGTTACAATAATTACTACCTACTGCAGAGGGTTACCTTACTTTCTGCACAAGCAATGTGGCATTCGATGTTTCATGGCAATGCTAAGTTTTCCTGATTTTCTTTGTATGTAAGTTACTATTCTCCACTTCAGAAAGAACTCTCTCCTACCTTGCTGAAACCACTAGGAAGTATCCCCAAAGACTGGTTAAATGCTCAAACAGTTAGCATACACCTAACCTCTTTCTTTCTTTCTTTCTTTCCTTCCTTCTTCCTTTCTTCCTTCCTTTAATGGACTCTAATTTCCTCATTTTTAAAATGTGTAATTTCTTGCAGCTATACTTACGATTCAGTCTGACAGAACCGCTTCACTCTTCCCACTACATTTTCAAGCCTTAACGTAGTGTGTGCCTGATTTAGTCCTTAAGCTCTGCACACTCTGACTTGATCCATGTATGCACCTCTTTGAGCACATGAATGGTTTCTTGACTTGTCTACTTGACTTGTCTACTTGCATGCTTATTGTTAAGCGAGGAATTAAGTGGTTTGTCAGAATGATCCCAAGTGCTTAGCATCTGAACAGCATGAATTTTTACTCGGTTGAGTAAGAAAACTGTTCCCAGAGCTTCATCTCTCTATCCATGCTAGCTGCCTACATACGACTCTACTTTCCTGACAAAAGAATAAAATTTACAGACATTCTTCTCTCTGGGATTTATTACTGAAACTGGAGAGCAATGGTTTAAATCGGGGAATCAAATGAAGCAGAGGTGGTATACTAGTCATCTAGGGGTTAAGCTAATTTGTTAGTGCCCTTGCTGTTTCTTGCAGTCAGCCACTATGCATCCACTCTTTAAATTCTGAAAAGAACACCGACCTTTAATCTGTGGTATTAGTTCCTTTGACAAAATGGAAGATTATGTCTTTTTCCCACAAGCCTTCATGCGAAGCTTAGCCACCTTCCATCTGGTCTGGCTAATTAAATGTAAGTTAACATTAAGTTAAGAGCCAGCTCCAGCCCACAGACCTTCTATTCTGCAACTGCAGATTTATTAATTGGCCAAACTATTTGAGTATTTAATTCCAATTTTTGATTACTTCTATTTTCTTCACTCTCTCATGAAAACAGGGAAATGTTTCTGAAGACATATTTGCATAATTTCAGCTCAGAAACACAAAACATTAAGACATGCTAGTAAGATTCTGAGCAGCCATAAAATTGTCAGGTTTTTTTCTTCTGTATTTGACATGTTAATAAAGTACCATCATAACAGTGTGAAGGATCTGCCTATTATGCACAAGATCTGGAATCACTGGAGCTGTACACTTTTAAGCTGGCTGTGACCCACAATCTGGCCCTATATGTACTAAAACTAGAGCCAGTTGTTGTGTTCCTTATTCAGTCAAAACTTTCTTTGACCTTAATGGGCATTCTGTCTGAATGAAGAACAAAGGGATTAGATCTAATATGGGGAGTTACTAATTGTAATCATGCCCACAGTTAACTTTTGATAAAATTCATTTGGAAAACTGAAAATGCAGAGAATCTACTAAGTCAAAATGGTGCTTTGCACTATTTTATTAGATGTTAGAGAGGAAAACTACAAGCTTTAAGACTTTTAAAGTAAATAATGTGGCAAAGTTAGATTTATGAATTTGTTTTAACACATGATATCACTTTGAGAAAGATTGTTAAGTAAAACAGCTTAAACCTCTTAACCAAAATCCTCCTTCTTTGGAATAGAGGCAAAGATCACATAAAGAAATACTATTTCTTCATATATTTATCTAATATAATGCCTGCTGCAACAGTATGTAAAGCAAATTAAAAAATGCAAAACCCAGAAAAATTCTGCCTAGTTCACACAAACAAAAAAATTAAACACCAAATGAGCTGTTGTTAAAAAAAAAACAAAAAACAAAAACCCAACCCAGTTAGAAGTTCAGTTTCATATAAAAATCTAAACTGTATCAAGATATGCAACAGAGAGTTAAACAACAAAAACTGTGAATGGCACAAAGCGCTATCTAATGGAGCAAGACTAAACACTGAAATTAGGAGACCACTCCTTGTTTCCACTTCTTACCCCACAAAAGATCACGTGAGTAAATCAAGTCAATTCACCTTTTTCTGCCTCAGTTGCCTCAAGCAGATGGTATGGATAGAACAAACATTTCTCCCTTTCTGTCCTCACTCAAAAATTCTCAGGTGTTTAGAAATGCCCAGATGAAGATGTTCTGTGTAAGAGCAGACTATTAGCAGCTATTATTATGTTGGAAATAGAAATGGACAAGTAATTCACTTCTAAGAGACTCTGAAAACAAAAATGCTGTTGTTAGAGTGCAAGACCAACAACAGACACAAAGCGTTTTTGATTAGGTTTGGCTATAATACGGGATTTTCTTATCAACTTATTCTGTTCTCTCCCCTACTCATTAAATTTTAATGACCTGCTTGATAAAAACCTTTCTCATGAACCTTTGAATCTCTGTTTTATCCTCTGCCTAGCTTACTTTACATTTCTGCTCTTACTGTACACACCAGCTCTGTTTTCTCTGTAGCTTACCCTGGGAATGCTGTTCTGCACATAGAGTTGTTACCTTTTACTCAGACAAAAGCAACATAGCTCAGAACATCTGAAAAAATCCCCTGGGGTAACTCCTTAAAAAATGAAATATGAGAATCAAAATGCAATCTAAATTTACTAGTCCTACTCTAAGACCAGACACAGTCTTCTTCCAAAGACCCATTAAGATTCAGTTCATATTCAAAATACCAGACCTGCAATACAGTGAAATGCTGAGCTCCATTCTGACACACTTCTAGCTGATTCCTGTGAACTAATTCCTGGCACTTACTCTGCTCACACCAGCTTTCCTCGTGAACTGGAGCCACCTTGTGCCCTGTAGAGCACCTGCACCCTGCTGTCCATTTAGGAAAATGTTTATTTACAAAGCATACTGGCTTTCTGTGCATGTATGCAAGAAAAACTTCTAAAAAATATTTATTCGGATTCTATATAAATTGTTACATTTGTAACTGTTTCAAGTCAGTTAAACATGAACAAAACAATAAAGATGCAAATCAACTGGATGCTGATTATTTTTTTCCAATCGAACCCACCACTGCAATGAGCTTTTAGGAAGCATGTAAGACACTAAGTCACTTTGAACACTCATGGTATCACAAGGAACACCACCACTATTTTCCAGTTTATTATCTGTTCTTACCTATAATTGAGAATTATACCAAAGCAGGGACAAGAATCCGAGACCATGAGCTGCTTTGCTGTATGTTTTATTTTGCAGTAAAATAGTAAAGTCTCTTCTTCTATAGTAATGAATTTGAGTGCACAGCATATGGCCTTAAAATGTTTACAAGTGCTACAGTTCAGATTTGGCCTCTAGCCTTAAAAATTCAAATCCAGCTTTGAAACATCCCCAAAACTCAGTGTTGAATTTTTTTTGTCTCGTTATAAAATAGGGATCACATGAATCAAATAGATCTGGACATATTTCCAGAGGCTACTGGGGAGAATTCTGACTCAGGGCCAAATCTACCATATTCATGTTCTTTTATTCTAACAGGATCAATATCAAATGTGTTGAGGGCATGAGAGTACTGAGCCAATACATACTTCCTTTCCTTTCAAAGCCAGGGGGGATTTTCTTTATTCCCAGGGGGGGGGGCGGGGGGGGGGGGCGGGGGT